GGCCATCCCACCTCAAGGGGGAAACTCCAGCGTTTGAGGACTTTTGGTGTTTCACATAGCTCCAGAAGCGCTTGTTCTTGACATCTTTGGTCGGGGTGTCTTCCTCTGAGAAGATGCCGTTCATGTAGTTCCAATACGATCTACGCAATAAGCGTTGAATGGTTCGGCGGAGTCTCAGTACCTCCTCTCTCAGTTCCATCGAGCCATTTTTCTTCATGCGTTTGTATTGGCGGTCTCTCCTGTGGATGAGCCTACGGATTTCAGCCGTGACCCATGGCTGATTTATCCTAGGTTTGGTGATTTGGTGTGGTATAAATTTCTTCACTGCATCAGTGATTGTAGTCTTGAACCTCTCCCACAGCTCGTCTGTTGTCGCTGTACCTTGAATCACCTTCATGTTTGAGCTTAGCTCTGTGGTTGCAATCCTTAGGCCATCCCAGTCTGCCTTGGCATAAATTGGGATTTCTCGAATGATTTTTTTCATTTTTAGTGTGTTGACCTGAAATTCACAATAAGGAATGCTGTGGTCCGAAATCCCGGGGATGACCTCAACTTTTTGGACACGATGTGGACAATTGGTGAGGAGTAGGTCAAGAGTGTTCTCCCCCCTCGTGGGTTCTTTAACCAGCTGTTCCAGACCATAGTTGTTAATTATCTCCATGAATTCTGAGTGTAGAACAGGGTATGGGGACTTGGGCTTCAAGGCAGGAATCTGCCAATTCCAACCAGGAAAGTTAAAATCCCCCCCTATAAGGAGAAAAGCGTTTTTTGACTGTGTTGCTCTGTGAAGCGTGTAACGGACTATGTTTTCACATGTAAACAGAGAGGTAGCATGAGTGGACAGTGAGTGTGTTCACCAGGTTTTTCCACGGGGAGAGACAATCAATGTGGATTGTATTTTTGAGAACAAATGTGAACTCCACGTTTTTGGAGAGTAAAATTATGTTTTTGTCAGAGCGGTTGTTTTGCACGCTTTGCTGGTAATAAAGTATGAGTTGACTGAGATAAGGGGAGCTGAGCGCAGAGCAGTAGAGTCAGTCAGTAGCGTGAGAGCTGTGTGATTAGACAGTTGAGCTGAGTTATAGTAGTCTGAGGACGTGTCTTTCTTAATGATGGAATACTATAGATATATATGTGAAATTACATTCATGCAAGGATTATTTATTAATATTATCAATATAAAGTG